TGAGAGCCTTTTCCTCATGTGTGTGCTTCAGGAAGGTTCATTTTAGAAAAGAATAAATTTAGGGATTTCTTTCCATCTGCCTCCATGTATTTGCCTGGGAGGTTCTTACATCATTACACACACACACACACACACACACACACACACACACACACACCACTTGTCTTGAGATTTTTATGCTGCATTATCTCGAATCTAGACTCCAGAATCTTCAGAATCTCACTGTGAGAAGACCCAAAACATGATTCTGGTGGTCACAAGCACAGGAAGAGAGAGCAAGAGAGAATACATTGTTTTATGAAAAATTGAGGGGGAAAACCAATATTTTCTAATTAAGATATATCTTATAATGCATTGATACCCAGCACAAATATATAACTAAGTTATTAAATACTGTAAGCTGACATTTTGCTGTGTTATCAACATCTGTAATGGTTATCTCACGGCTACTGTTGCTGTGATAAAACGCCATGGTCATAAGCAACTTGAAGAAGGGAGGGCTTATTTCCCTTCCACTTCCATATCAGTCCACCATTGAAGGAAGTCAGGGCAGGAGCTTAAAACAGAAAACTGGAGGCAGGAACTGATGCAGAGGAAATCTCAATTGAAAAAAATTCCCCCACCAAACTGGCCAGTCAGCAAGCCTGGGTGCGTTTTCTTGATTGATGACTGATGTAGGGGCAGGGATAGCTCACTATGGCCAGTACCACTCTTGGGCTGGTGGTCCTGACTGGTATAAGAAAACCCTTTCAGCAAGCCATGAAGAACAAACTAGTAAGCACCCTTCCTCCATGGTCTCTGCTTCAGTTCTGGCTGCCAAGTTTCTGTCCTGAATGAGTTCCTGCCCCCACTCCCCTTCATGATGGATCACAAACTGCTGTAACCTGAAATCAACTCTTTCCTCCACAAGTTGCTTTTGGTCATGGTGCTCTATCACAGCAATAGAAATACTAAGACAGAGCAGAAGACGAGGTAGGAGAAACAAAAAACCAAATTTTGGTTGAAAATGTCACAATCTAATTCTGTGTATGCTAATTTAAAACTCTTAAAATGATAACAATAAATTGATGTTGTGAGTTATTTCAGATAGGTACTCAGATAGGTGGAGTGGACTACTCTTTTTTACTTTTGTGTTTTTGAGACAGGGTTTCTGTATAGCTTTGGAGCCTATTCAGGAACTCACTCTGTAGACCAGGCAGGCCTTGAACTCACAGAGATCTGCCTGTCCCTGCCTCCTGAGTGCTGGGATTAAAGGCATGCGTCACCACTGTCTGGCTGAGTGAATTGCTCGAATAAGTCGTATTTCCTCCCCATTTTCCCCTGAAGAATCATAATACAGTGTCCTTAAATGAATAATGGGGTTGGGTGTGATGATTCTAAGGCTTATAATTCCAACTCTTAGGAGGCAGAGGCAGGAAAATTATGAGCCATGGCTGTCCTGGGTGGCATAGCAAGCAAGACCTTGTCTCAGACAAAGAAATAAACAAAGAAGGATTAAGCTGTGATCCATCCATGCCTTTACTACTTTAAAACTGAACACATACCCCCTCCCTACAACTACTTATGTGCCGCTTAAGTGGGTCTCAGAGGACTTGTACTGACGGAAGAGACTGACCTGGGGTTACAAAATCAACTGTCTCATGTGTGTCAATTTCTGTAATGACACGTTTGCAGTTCAGCTTCTTTACATGGTCTCATTTTTCTTCTTTATAGGCAACTAATTTATACTTAAGCCCAAATCAGTGAAACAAAGTATAAATAGAAGATATATATGTATAATTTTAAGTAATTTGCTGAAATAGAATTCTATCTTTTTTTATTGAGAAAAGGAGAAAGAAAAAAAAACAAGTTTCCACCTCCTCCCAACCTCCCATTTCCCTCCCCCTCCTCCCACCCTTCTCCCCCTCCTCCCACCCTTCTCCCCCTCCCCCCACTCCTTTCCCCCCTCCCTCTCCAGTCCAAAGAGCAGTCAGGGTTCCCTGCCCTGTGGTAAGTCCTACGTCCTCCCCCCTCCGTCCATATCTAGGAAGGTGAACATCCAAACTGGCAAGGCTCCCACAAAGCCAGCACATTAAGTAGGATCAAAACCCCGTGCCATTGTCCTTGGCGTCTCATCAGCCCTCATTGTTCGCCATGTTCAGAGAGTCCAGTCTTATCCCTTGCTTTTTCAGTCACAGTCCAGCTGGCCTTGGTGAGCTCCCAGTAGATCAGCTCCAAGATGCTCACTTTTATTCTGTTAGTGAGGTTTTCTTCTTTGGTATCTACATGTGGCAAAATGCATCAAGTACTACATATGTGAAGCATGCACATGTTGTTGGCTTTTTTTTTTAAGATGACACTACTTTCAGGGATGAAAACAATTGAGAAAAGTAAAGGTAAAGCTATGTGAATGGGCAAACTTAATATTTTAAAATTCCTTATAGAGTGGAGACCATGCTCCTTGCTTTATTGACAGCATTGGAGGCAAAACTGTAGCCTAACTCTGCCCCAAAGTCCAACGTATTGGAGGAAGTAGGCTATCAGTGCTGCACCTGTGCCTTCTAAACACTATTATTTTTCTTTGGGTGCTATTAGTAATTTATTTATTTAAACAGGTTCTCATGTATTCAGACTGGCCTGGAACATGCTATGTAGCCAAAAATGACTTTGAAACTTTGATCCTGCTGTTTCTACTTTCCAAGTGTATTTCTGGGATTCTAGATGTGCACCCAGTATATGCAGTGCTGAGGTTCAAACCTAGAGCTTCATGAATCCTAGGCAAGCCACATCCCCAACATCTACTGATACTGGTCCTTACATGTGAGGCATCTATTGATACTGGTCCTTCTGTGGGCATCTACTGATACTGGTCCTTCTGTGGGCATCTCCTGATACTGTTCCTTCCATGGGCATCTACTGATACCAGTCCTTCAGTGGGCATCTACTGATACTGGTCCTTCTGTGGGCATCTACTGATACTGGTCCTTCTGTGGGCATCTACTGATACCGGTCCTTCTGTGGGCATCTACTGATACCGGTCCTTCTGTAGGCATCTACTGATACTGGTCCTCTGCGGGCATCTACTGATACTGGTCCTTCCGTGGGCATCTACTGATACTGGTCCTTCTGTGGGCATCTACTGACACTGGTCCTTCAGTGGGCTGGGTATAATAAACACCACTGGGAGGTAGAGATCTTTGATAGACAACCCCATATCTCTCATTCTGTGGGTTCTACAGTTCATATCCTGAAGCAGTGTTCCTACCCCCTGCCAGAACGCACATAGAAATATCCAGTCCCGAGGGCTGGGAAAATGGCTCATTGGGTAAGAGCATTTGCTCTACATACATAAGGACTGGAGTTCAAATCCCCAGCACTCACAGGCAGCATGCCTGTAACCCAGTATTGTGGAATGGAGACAGGTGAACCCCAATGGTTGCCTAGTTGAAGGGATATGGCCTATTTAGACATGGACAGGGACACATGCATCTGTATATTCAAGTGCACGTAGCTTCCCCACCCAAGAAATGTCCAACCCCTTTCATCCTTGGTCTATGGGATAAAGCATCAGGAAGAAGTGTGTTTCCAGTGTTCCATGCTAGTTCAGTCTCAACCATTCAGTGTCTGCTGGACATTAGATTTACTTGTCTGGCCCTCACCCCTGCAGGATCCAATATTCCATGCTTCTTGTTTTTCTCTTCTTCCCCACCCTTTTTCCTTCCCACCCCTCCTTCTCCACCCTTTCTTCCTTCCCATCCCTCCCCTTCTTCCCCACCCCTTCTTCCTTCCCATCCCTCCTTCTTCCCCACCCCTCCTTCCTTCCCATCCCTTCCCCCTTCCCATCCTCCTTCCATTCCTTTTTCTCCACCACTCCCTCCTTCTTTCCCACCCCTTCTTCCTTCCCATCCCTTCTTCCTTCCCCACTTCTTCTTTCCCACCCCTTCTTCCTTCCCATCCCTCCTCCCTTCCAACCCCTTTCCTTCCCACCCCTCCTCCTTCCCCACCCCTTCTTCCTTCCCACCCCTCCTCCCCCACTCCTTCCTTCTCACCCCTCCTCCTCCCACACTCCTTCCTTCCCACCTCTCCTCCTCCCTCACTCCTTCCTTCCACACTCTTCCTTCCTTCCCATCCCTTCTCCTTCCCCACTCCCTCCTCCTTCCCCACTTTTTCCTTCTTCCCCCTCCTCCCCACTCCTCCCTTCCCACCCCTCCTCCTCCCCCACTCCTTCCTTCCCACCCCTCCTTCCCACCCCTCCTCCTCCCCACTCCTTCCTTCCCACCCCTCCTCCTCCTCCACTCCTCCCTTCCCACCCCTCCTCCTCCCTTCCCACCCCTCCTCTTCCCCCACTCCTTCCTTCCCACCCCTCTTCCTCCCCACCCCTCCCTTCCCACCCCTCCTCTTCCCCCACTCCTTCCTTCCCACCCCCTTCCTTCCCACCCCTCCTCCTCCCCACTCCTTCCTTCCCACCCCTCCTCCTCCCCCACTCCTTCCTTCCCATCCCTCCTTCCCACCCCTCCTCTTCCCCCACTCCTTCCTTCCCACCCCCTTCCTTCCCACCCCTCCTCCTCCCCACTCCTTCCTTCCCACCCCTCCTCCTCCCCCACTCCTTCCTTCCCACCCCTCTTCCTCCATCACTCCTTCCTTCCACACTTGTCCTTCCTTCCCATCCCTTCTCCTTTCCCACTCCCTTCTCCTTCTCCACTTTTTCCTTCCCACCCCTCCTCCTCCCCACTCCTCCCTTCCCACCCCTCCTCCTCCCCCACTCCTTCCTTCCTACTCCTCCTCCTTCCCCACTTCTTCTGTCCCATCCCTCCTTCTTCCCCACCCCTTCTTCCCCCTCCCCCATTCCTTCCCCTCCTTCCCTCCATGCTCCATCATTAGAGATTCTCAGTGAGATATCATTTTCACACCAGATGGATTTTATTTTCACATCCAAATACTGCATAGAAACAATTCAGTCTACACAGTTTCCATTGCTGTCAGGCCTTTGGAAGATCCGCAGGCCTCTGTTGGTAGGGAGGCTATTGACTCTCCATGTCAGTTATTGAAGCAGTGGAACTCCCTAAGCTGCTGTGGTCTGGGTCAGTCTCAGTGCGAGCTAGTTCTTTCACCAGGTCTTGGTAGTGACCATACATTGCTTTCCGGATGACATTTTTAGTCTTTTTCGCAGTTTTCTCAGATGCCTTTCTTTTTAAGGCCCGTGGTGGCGGGGTTTTCTTGCCCTTCTTGATAGTCTTACGGACCTGGAAGGACAACAGAGTAAAGTGACATGGGTCTTCAAAAACATGGAATACAGAAGGGGACTGAAGGAGAAGGGCTACGGGTTGAGTGAGGAGTTGACACCAGGACAAGAAAGGTTTAGGAGTGCTAGGAGGGGGCAAATCACTGGAGAAAGAAGTCTGCTTAACTCGGGTATTCTTACCTTATTGGGGTTTCTGAAGCAGAAGCTGATCTCACCACCATTCTTCTTGCTGGGAGTTTTGGGCTTGCGGCGACTCTTGGGCTTTTGGGTCACGGTACCGGAGGTTGATGGGCTCACATCTGTACGAGGATCCTGCGACTTTTTGGTGGCCTTCCCCATTCTGAAGCCTGGTTTGGTCTGCCTCAACAGCGCTGGGGCACTGGACTTATGAAGCCACCCAGGACAATGGAAGGCCACACCCTTGAGTCCTGATTGGTCAGCTGCTTTGGCATCACAAAGGACTGTGTCCCGGATCTGAGCAGGCACTGGACTGGAAATCACAGTGTGGCTCAGAAACGGAAAGTACCATCTTTGACAAGACTTGTTGAGGGAGATGCTGTGAAGGCTATTGCCTCCAGACAGGAGGCTTTTCTTGACTATCTCCAAGAGATTGACGCCACCCATTTTCACATCCCTATGTTGTGATAGAACATGTGGCAGAGGGTTTGCTCCAGTAAACTCTTCCCAAAACACGCCCCCCCCCACACTCAATGGTTCATTCTGCCATGTCCCTTCCTTAGTAAGTGAGCTAGAGTTTGGTGTGTTTTACCTTCAGTCCTTCCAAAATTAATATTGAAGCCTCACTGCCTATGTGAATCACCCCGTAAATAAAGACAAAAAGAATCTATTCATGAATGGATATCTCCCTACCCGGTGAATTTGGCATTAAAAGCATGGTGTGCTGGCAAGTTTTATGTTAATTTGGCACAAGCTAGTGTCATCTGAGAGGAGAGAGCCTCAATTAAGAAAGTGCTTCCACATTCAGAGGTCCAGTTTGATCCCATGCTTGTTCAGTCCCAGTCCAGCTGGCTTTGCTGAGCTCCCATTAGTTCAGGCACACTGTCTCAGTGGGTGGACCAACCCCTCATGGTCCTGACTTCCTTGCTCATATTCTCCCTCCTTCTGCTCTTCAACTGGACCTTGGGAGCTCAATCCAGTGCTCTGATGTGGGTCTCTGTCTCTATCTCCATCTGTCACCTGACAAACGTTCTATGGTGATATTCAAGATAGTCCTCAGTCTGTCTATGGCCAAGGCCAGTTCAGGCATCTTCTCCTCCACTGCCCAGGGTCCTAGCTGGGGTCATCCCCGTGGACTCCTGGGAACTCCTCTAGAGCAAAGCCACTTGCTAATCCTAAAATGGCTAACTCAATTAAGATATCTCCTTCCCTACTCCCATATCCATCCTTCCTCCATCTCAACCATCCCACTCCCCCAGGTTCTCCCCAACCCTCCCCTTCTCCCCTCTCACTCCCCTCTTCTTTTTCCTCTACCCTCTCCCTGTCCCCATGCTCCCAACTTTTGCCTAGCGATCTTGTCTGCTTCCACTTTCCAGGAGGATCTATATGTTTTTTTGTGGGTTCACCTTAATACTTAACTTCTCTAGGATCATGAACTATAGGCTCAATGTCCTTTGTTTATGACTAGAATCCACTAATGAGTGAGTACATACAATATTCATATTTTTGGGACTGGGTTATCTCACTCAGGATAGCTGAGGGGCCAATGATAATGGCACTGGGATTTGTCTCTACTGCATGTACAGGCTTTTTGGGATCCTATTCTCTTTGGATGCTCACCTTCCTAGGTCTGGATGTAGTGGGGAGGGCCTTGGACTTTCCACAGGGCAGGGTTCCTTGCCCTCTCTTAGGACTGGAGGGGGTGGGGGGGGCGGGAGGGAAGTGGGAGGAGGGGAGGAAGTGGGAATTTTGATTGGTATTATTTATAAAGTAATAAAAAACAAAATAAACTAGAAGCTAAAAAAATAAAAGAAAAGAAATAAATAATTCTTTAAGTCTAAGAAAAGAAAGAAAGAAAGGAATAAATAAATAAATAAATAAATAAATAAAGTGCTTCTATAAGATGGTGTAGGCAAGACTGTAAGGCATTTTCTCTCCAGATCCATCAACCCTTTCCTTACTGCTGTGGTTTGCTATTAGGAGGTGTGGCCTGTTGGAATAGGTGTGACTTTATTGGAGGAAGTGTGTCACTAGGGGGTGAGCTTTGAGGTTTCAGAAGCTCAGGTGAGACCTAGTGGCTCAGACTTTCTTCCTGATGCCTGTGGATCCAGATATAGAAGTCTCAGCTACCTCTCTCCAGCACCACGTCTGCCTGTGTGCCACCTTGCTTCCCACCATGATGATAATGAACTAACCCCTGAACTGTGAGCCAGCCCGGTTAAATGTTTTCCTTTGTAAGAGTTGCCATGGTCGTGGTGTCAATTCACAGCAATAGAAAACCACACTCTAAGACACTTACTTATCCAATATTGTGTCCTCTTAAAAACACACACACATTAAGAGCAAGTTGTGCTGCTCAAATGTCTTGGATTTGTGGCCTTCCGCTGGAGCATAGTTAATTTACCAGGGGCTAAACTCTTAGAGAAAATGGTCTCTTCCTCTCCTAATGGCTAATAGTTGCCCATAGCTCCATAGCCATGGATGGAATTTTCTTCCCAGCTTCAATTTCCTTGTTGTGGTTTGGTCTGCTTGGGCTTGCACAGGTTGGTGCATGCTGCCCCAATTGCTGTGAGTTCATAAGTGTAACTGTTCTGATACGTCCAAAAGATAATCTTTTCTTGAGCTCGTCCATTGCCTTTGGCTCTCGTACTTTTTCTGCTCCCTCTTTTGTAATGATTCCTTAGCCTTGGGAGGAGAGAGTGTGGCTTTTATGTTCAATTTACAGTTGAGTCTTCTGCAATCTCTTATTCTTTACACAGTGACCAGTTGTGGGTCACTGTGCTGATCACTATCTACTGCAAAGAGAAGCTTCTCAAATGAGGGTTGAGCAATGTGTTGATCTTTGTGTATAATGAAACTTCATAAGGAGTCAGTTTAATATTATGCTAGTTTAGCAAAGTAATAGTAGTAGGTTCTCCCTAGGGACTATGACCTGTCTAGCCCAGAGGTTCTTGCTCAGATAATGGTGCCAAGTATGGGTTTCGTCTTGTGGAGTGGGAGGGATTGAAATCAAATTAGAAAGAGGCTAACTACTCCTATGATGTTCATGCCACTATTGCACCAGTGGGCAAGTCTTGCCAGGCAGTTAGTTTTGTAGCTCTCAGGGTAAACAAATGGATGTGATTGGTGGTTGATTTTCTCGTTAGGTAGTGTGCATCTTCTGTCACAGTGAGAGCTAGCCAGTAGAAATGAAACCCCCTGAGCAGTGCTAGCTTGATTTCTCCATTTTCTCTGTAGTTTCTTCAGCACTAGGGCCTTATCATAAGCAATGGTCTGTAATATTTTGAGAGTCTATGGGACCTCAGTGGCCAACAATTACAAAAGAACTATCCCTTTCCTGAAGCCGGACTTATTTGTTAGCCTTTGATGTCTAGTAGAGGCATTGTTATCGTTTAATTGTTATATTTTAATCTCTCTCTCTCTCTCTCTCGCTCTCGCTCTCGCTCTCTCACTCTCTTGTGTGTGTGTGTGTGTGTGTGTGTGTGTTAAAATTTCTTTCTATTGTAGGGCAGTGGTGGCACATGCTTTTAATCCCAGCACTCGGGAGGCAGAGGCAGGATGATCTCTGTGAGTTCGAGGCCAGCCTGGTCTCCAGAGTGTGAGTTCCAGGACAGCCAGGGCTACACAGAGAAACTTCTATTAATTTTTCTTTCTGTATTTTGAGATAGGAGGTCATCTAGCCCAGACTGAACTCAAGTTGCCGTCAAACTTACTACGTAGCTAAGGATGACCTTGGCCTCTCAGTCCCCCTGTCTGTAGTTCCTAAGTGCTGGGATTACAGGATTGAGCTATCACTCTTAGTTTGTCTGGTACTGGGTAGGGAGTTACATCTCCATTCCTCTACTAGGTATTTTGAGTAGTTTCATGGTTTGCTGCCAACCATGTTTATTTTCCTCTGCTATAGAACATTAGATGTTTTTCCTCCTATATAGCGCCATTCCTGTACTCATTAGCCATCCTCTCTCTATTCCTCCCTCCCCAATGCTCTCAACTCTTTATTGAAACCTAACATATATACTTCAATGTGCACAATTATAATTGAAACTGTGATAAGTTTTCCTAGCATGAACAAGCCAGTGTATCCAGGGCTCCAGATGCTCTTTGCATACTGAGTTTCTTGTCTTCTCTTTCCAGCCTCCTAACACAGCAGAGCATTTTTTCCCTTCTTTCAAAGTTCATTTACATGGAATTATGCCCTAGCTGTTCTTCCTTTCTCTTCATTAAAAATATTACATTTTTATTTGTTTTGTATGTGCACATGTTTATGTGTGTCCGTGTGTATGTGCCATGCATGTGTGAAAATGTTAGCGGGTCAACTTGCAAGAATCAGTTCACTCCTGATTTAAGGGTCCTGGGAATCAAACTCAGATCTTCAGTCTTGGCAGCAGGCACCTTTACCTGATGTGCCATGTCATTCCCACCTTAATTAAGTAATTTGTTTTTTTAATCTTGTTTTTCTTTAGACAGGATCTCTATATGCCAGCCTTGTATTTAACTTGTTGTGTAATGGACAATGGCTTTGAACTTCTGGTCATCATGACTGCATAAGCTGCCATGATGAGCTTGTATAGTACTGGGGAACTCAAGGCTTGGTGCATGCTAGGCAGGCATTCTACCAGCTGAGCTACATCTAGGTACAAGCTATTCTGTGACTAGTTTCTGTCTCTCAACACTTGATCCATGAGACTCATCTTTTTGCTTTGTATGTTCAAAGTTCATTTATTTTCCTCCTATCTAGTATTCCATCATGTGAGTATATTGCACTGTTACCATCCATTCTGCTGCTCACATTGCCTCTCATTTTTGGCTTTTATGAATAGTGTTGCTGTGAACATTCTGAAACTGGCCCTTTCTGTAGATATTTGTGTACATCTCCATTATGTTAAAAGGAAAGCATGGAATCATGGCCTTAGGAAATGCTTATGTTCAACTATAGTAGATACTGACAGTTTTCCAAATTGTTTGAACCAATTCACCATTCTCCCTGCAATGTAGTTTTATTTACTCCATATTCCTGTAAGCACTTAGTACTCTTTGTAATTTTGATTCTAGCTATTCTTTGACTGCATAGTGGCAAGGAATTATTATTTGCATTTATTCAATATAGAAACGGGGCCCCTTCCTTTTTTTTGCACCCATTTGGAGTTTCCCTTTTGTGTAGTGACTGATCAAGTCTTTTACCCATTTTTGTATTGAACTGTCTGCTCCTTCCGAATAAGCTTTTCTCTTATGTGCCTTGTGTCATCTTGATTTGAAAGACCCTAGGTGTACTTACATAATTTGATTTAAATTTTGTTTGCATAATTTTCCCAATAACATTAGACTGTTTAATTTATGCTCAAATAACCAAGAGCCTTATTTTTATGCTTACTGTGTGTTGGTTTCAAAATGATGTTGCAAGTAACTTGGCAAGGAAAACAAGTATTTTGAAAAATTTCACCACTTCA